TTTTCAAGAATTTTCACCGAATTCGGACCGAATTCGTCCAGAAAATCGAATATTTTTTCAGATTTTTTTCAGAAAATCTTTCCGAATTCGGTGACCACGTCCATACAACTTTCGTACCGAAATCGGAAGGAATTCGGAATCAGAATCGGACATTTTTTCAGAGATTCTGACAGAAATCGGACCGAATTCGGCAAAAATTGTTTACTGGGCTTTCACACTCTTCCTTCAAACACACACACGCATACACACTGTTCCCACGAAGTCACACAAGGGTTAATGTTCGGATTTGATAACAAAAAAAAACAACTCAAAGCACTCACACACCCTCGTGCGAAAGATTAGATCAAAACATTGACTATTGACTAAACGCACAGACGCCGCCGTTAAAGCAAACAATCCATTCAGTAAGTTTCCATTAGTGGTGGACATACATTCGAACAACACCTGCAACACACCAGTTTGTTTGACTTGCAAAAAATCGATCCGGAAAGTTACCGCAATCCTACAGCACAATGGCAGAAAACAAAGATTTAGTGTTTCGTAAAGCTGAGAAAAAAGATCTTAAAGTTGTTATGGAAATGATACAGGTAAGGAAATGTAGAGAATTATATTCTCATTAGAAAAAAATGAGAGTGAGAGAGCAAGGGGAAAGGAGTCAATAATGCCACCACAAAAGACGAAAACAATAAAAAATAAATTAAAAAGCAATGAGTCCCCAGCATCAGCTGAGCGCCACCATGTGTTTACGCTGCAAACAATAATAGGTCTGTCTGATTACCTTAAAAATGGGTAACAATTTTCGCAAATTGTTTACTAGAAGTTGTCTATCAACGCCATAGTTCTGCGATTCTAGAGAGAAATTTTGACAGGGATTTTACTATGAGTTTGCAATGATCTGATCATACTTCTTCTGGTCTACTTTACTGTTACTCCTCCTCCATTTTCAAATAATTTAATCAAGCAATTTGAAAACATTGATATGTTCTAGTATTGCAAAAACTTGAAAATGTCTACTATGATAGCCGATTTTTATACCCTCCACCATAGTATTGAGGGTATATTAAGTTTGTCATTCCGTTTGTAACACCTCGAAATAGACATTTCAGACCCCACAAAGTATATATATATATATATATATATATATATATATATATTTGGTATTGAAAATGGCTGATGTAGGTCCACGTTTTGGCATAGCCCCTATATAACGGTACCTCACGATATTCGGTATTTTGGTGATTTTAGCGACATTATTCACCGGAATTGTTTCAAATTTGGTGTTTGAAGTTCGTAATGGATACTACAGCCTATGACAGAAAATTGTCTGTACAGGTCTACGTCTTCGTATAGCTCCCATATAACGGTACCCCCCGATATTCGGTATTTTGATGATTTTAGCGACATTATTCACCGGAAATGTTTCAAATTTGTTGTTTGAAGTTCGTAACGGATGCTACAGCCTATGACAGAAAATTGTCTGTGCAGGTCCACGGGTTCATATAGCCCCGGTACCCCCCGATATTCAGTATTTTGATGATTTTAGCGACATTATTCACCGGAATTGTTTCAAATTTGGTGTTTGAAAATCGTAATGGATATGTTCACGTCCTCGTATAGCCCCAATATAACGGTACCTCCCTATATTCGGAATTTTGATGATTTTAGCTATATTATTCACCGAATTTTTTTATTCGAGTTTCGCATTTAAATATTGCAATGGTTTATGACAAAAGTTGCCTATGCAGGTCCACGTCGTCGTATAGGCCCTAATATAACGGCTACATTCGGTTTTTTTTTTTAAGATTTTAACAGAATTTTTAACGGATTGCCAAAATCATTTCACATGGTGGAGGGTATCCAAAGTTCGGCCCGACCGAACTTAGCTGATTTTTTATTTGTTTATATTTAAAAAATGCACACTTCGCGCTCATCTGTTCGCTGGCAGGTCTTTACCGACTATTTACAGGCAGATGGACCTAATTCTCTTTTTGTGTTGTGATTTTAGGAATTGGCCGATTTCGAAAATATGAGTGATGGACCCGAACTGACGGAACAAGGTATAAAAAATAGAAATCGATATATATGTGTGTGTATGTATTTCCAGTAATAATTTACAACATGTTTTCAGATCTTGCCAGAGATTCCGGTCTAGATGGAGGACAAGAATGCTGTCACATTTATGTATTGGATTTAAAGGAAAGCGATAAAGTGTGAGTTCAAAAGAAATAATATTTTCTATTTTCATTTTTGTCAATGGTAAAATTAAATGAAGCGAGGAACCTCATTTTGAGATGAACCTCAGATGAGATGTTTTCCGTCTAACCCCTTTCATTTTTCTTTTATTTTTCAGTACAACAATTGGTTATGCCATTTGCTTCTTTGCTTATTCCACATGGAAAGGTAGATTCTATTTCCTCGAAGATATTTATGTTAAACCCGCCTATCGAGGTATTGGAGCTGGTGCGCGTATTTTCCGAGAAGTGGCCAATAAGGCCAAGGAATTTAACTGCAAAAGAGTAGATTTTCATGTTCTATCATGGAATCCTGCTTCGAAATTCTATCGAAAATTGGGAGCATCCGATCTGACGGAAATTGAACAGTGGCATCTTTACCGTTTGCACGAAGAACAATTGGATACCCTGTCAAAGGAGTTGGAAAACAAATAATATTTTTTTTTTTAAATTTATTTTTTATTTTTGCTTTTGGTTACAGTTCTTGTTTTTATAAATAATTTTAATAAAAATAATGCATTTAAAAAAAAATGTTGTTTTATTAGTGTCATGTTATTGAAGCGATTAACATTAAAAAACCTGGTGGAATTAAATAGGTAACGTCAATAATTTTATTTGCAATATTTTTTTTCAAATTGATAAGTTTGGCAGTATCCCATTGTCAAAATGTTTATTTACAAATCCAGAGATGGGAACCAGTTTTTGAATAAAGTTAAATGAGACAAGGTGAATTACCGAAAAATGCTGAGAGAAATACTGATATTTTACAGAGAAAATTTACTCTGCGAAAATTATCAATTTGTCAAACAGACCTATTGTTACCAAGAAAATATTAAAAATATAATAGAATTAAGGAGGTAACGTCATTTCAAATGAGCAATTCCATCCGAGCATTTGGTGTGTCTGGTTACTTTTCCTGTAGGATTTGTCCAGTAACGTCTTTGAGAGAGAGAGAGAGAGCTAAGAAGTTTTATTCTCTTTTGCAAGAAAACTGGGAATTTGCCAGCAATCAGAAATTAAAAATGAGCCGAAATAAAAAACAATTAGGGTGAGTGCATGGTAGAAGAATGCAGGTAGCGGCATCAACGCTTGGAAACATTGATATGTCAAAATAGTTTAAATGTCATTTCAAATATAAGCAGATTTTTATATGTTTTCTTATACGACGTCATTCGGAGGTTATTATAATGCGCGTTTTTAAACAATTTTTACAAATTTCAAAAATTTTCAATGAATTCCAATTCCAAAATTGGCTTGACAGTTGTCCCAGCAGCTGTGTCGATGCGTATACCTATATTTTTCTACCATGGGTGAGTGTGCGTAAAACCTTTTTTTTTTTTTGACTGGCTTAAGCCATCGGCTGGCGGCTTCTTCGTAGATGAACTTTGGAGTTTTAGGTTGACTTAGTTCGATTTTGGCCTTACGCTCATTTGTTCTTTTCCGAAAAAGCCAGGCAATGACTTAAGCCCGTCAAAAGGGTGTTTTATGCATTCTCACATTTACATTTGCGATTTCCAAGATGCTTCTTAAATTGCTTGTCCAAATATAAATCACCGAAAGGGGAAGAAGAAACTCTTCTTCAAGTCATTCCAAGAACAAAATTTGTCCACCAAGAATTTGCAAACTCTCTGTGAAAGAGCTATCAAAATTGTTCTCTCAATTCGCTCTCTTCTGCTGATCTTTCGTGTCAACCTTTGACTTTTAGCAGGGGTGCTCAAAAAGAAATATCTCTTTTCAGTCAAATTTCTCTTTGCTTATTTAAATCAAGAACAAAACAGTGTTAAGTCATTATTTATACATATATTTTTTATCCATTTGCTTTATAAATTATTTTGGCAAACATTCGTGTTTAAAAACAATTAAATAGAACCGTAAAATATAAAGAAAAACAGAACTTAACTTTTCTCTTCAATTATCTCTTTTTTCTCTTCATGTTCTAGAACACGGTTTTGAGCACCGCTGCTTTTAGTCATCAATTTGCAACAATTGTTACGCATCAGCCCAGCTGACGGCACCTTTAAATGTCAAAACAATTTGTTGTAATGCTGAATTCGCCCTAAATGAATGCAACACAAAAACAAAGTTTGTTTATGTCTTCTTCTGACAGTAAAAAATTAAAAAAAATGAAAAAGAAAAAAATTTTGTTGTTGGGTATTGTTGTTGGCTATTGGCCAAATTATTAAGAATTTGATTACTGATATTCATATTCTGCTGTTGAATATGAGGTGTATTTATGGCCATATGCATTGGAGTGTTGGTGCCCTGATTTTGCATGGAACAGTTCGAGAATTGTTGTTACTGCTGCTGCATATGTACACTGTTAACATGCGATACATTTTGGGCAATGTTGCTGGAGATGTTGGCGGTGCCATGTGGTGCAAATCCTAGGTGTTGAGATTATGTCCAGCACTGGCCTTAATATGCAATTTATCGTGGACATTTCCAGGCGGCCCAGACGTAGAAGATATTAGTTGTGGGCTTGTGCAAACATTTCGAGGGCTAACTATCAACTTTGGACTTTTGCACTTGGACAATACAACATAAAATGTAAACAATCATCTCGTTTCTGATTGGTTGAAACAAATTTGCCGCAAACTTTAAATGTCATGGCGAATATATATTTTTCGCCTTAGATGCCAATTTCGACATTTGAGGGTACCACAAAAGTTGCTTTGTTGTAGCAATTCGCCGATGCGGTTACCTGTTAGATCTACCTTGCAGGTTCCCATGTCTGATTTGTGTACATACCATGGTAGAAGAATACAGGTAGACATTTATAATTTTTATTTATTTATTTTTTTTTTTTTTTCAAGAATAAGTAGATTTGTACAGGATGAGATAAAAAAAAAACTGCAACAAAGTCAAACGCCATAATTTTTACATTTTTTTTTAATTTTATTGAGTCTAATTATTTTGAGTCTATTTTCATTCTGTTGCGGTGTAAGTTCTTGCACTTTTTGAAATTTTAACGGCTTTACCCCGAGCTCATTTTTTAATATTTTCCAAATGGAATGTTGCGATATGTTCAGCTCACGAGCCATTTTCGGCCACTGCGACGCGGGTTTCTATCGCTTCTTTAGTTTAGGAATGACAGCAGTCTGAAGTTGGTTGCAGTTTTTTCATTTTATCCTGTATATATTTTCTGATACGATTTTTTTCGGATTTTTTTTTCGATATCATAAAGGGAAAATCGGGTGTCGAAGTAAAAAACTTTAATTTTCTTGCAGTTTTGGAACAGACCAATTGTTGTAGAGATGTTGCAAAATTAATATTTTAACATATGATTGGATGACTAAACCTTCCTAATTATTTTTCTGCATGGCTAAACACCCTTATGACATCAATGAAATCTGCTGATCCTAGTTTCGCACGGAAAAAATCTTCCATCGAATATTTAAAAATGGCAGAACGGTTTAGTTTCTTGGCTGTCTCGCAGATTCCTACGCCAATTCGCGCCCCAACACCTACGTAACGATAATCCGGTTTTATATACATGTCTTTCAAACAGTATTGTCTGCCTTTCCATACAGAATCTTCAGGGTAGCAAAAGGCACATGCAACTGTTGTACTGAAAAAAAAAACAATATTGAAAAGCAAAAGTTATATTATTGAAAATATTTTCGGGTGCAATCATAAATTATAGCCACTGATGGCAGATGAAGTTTTTTTTGAATGTTTTAAACTCACACTTCATCGTTTACAAAGCCTTGCATTAAGTAAATATGAACTTTTTCATCTCCTCCTTCGTCCATACCACACTTTTTCACAAGTTCTGAAAACAAAATTATTTTAAAAACATATATTCCCTTAAATAAAATAAAAGTACAAACTACTCGACGTACGGCATAAAAATACTTTTAACTTTTCCTACTTTTAACTTATCTTCAGGTGGGAAAAAATATCTAAAGGTGGGAATACATAAAGCGCTTATCTGGCTGGCTTCTTCGGAAATGAACAAAGGAGCCTAGGGCCAAAATCGAACTAAGTCAACCTAAAACTCCTTTGTTCCTCTACGAAAAAGCCAGCCGATGACTTAAGCCAGTCAAATAAGCTCTTTATGTACACAAAAAGCTTAATGCCATGGCTAGGCATATTTTGTGACATTTGATAAAAGGATTACAGAGCCGAAATAAAATCCAGCGGTCGTTTTCATTTATAATTTGACATTAATACACCTAGCCATGACTCGTGGTAGAAGAATACAGGTAGTCGCATCGACACAGCTGATGGGACAATAAATTGTCAAAAATTTGGAATTGAAATTTTTGATTGAAAAGTTATTCAAATTCGTTAAAATTGTTTGAAAATGCATATTACAACAACCTCCGATTGGTGTCGTTTGGGAAAACATATAAAAATATACTTATATTTGAAAAAACATTTCAAAACTTTTGACATATCAATGCCTTAATGCATCTACCTATATTCTTCCACCATGGTAAAACTCTTATCTCTTGATAGCAGCATAGGTAGATGTATGAATACACAAATGTTTTCTTTGTACCTTCTTCCGTTGGTGGCTCCAAACCGAGTATTTCACATATTTCCTGAAATATAATAAATCGAATTATATCTTGCAGTGTGAACTCATAGCGGCACGCAAGGCCTATATAAAAGTGGGTTTTGGAGGTAAGAATACATAAATTACATTATTCCCTCAGCCATATGTGCCTTATCGAAAAAACGGTTTTAGACCCTAGATCTCTTTTGATCAAATCCGTTCTAGCGTTGTCCGCCTGTCTGGTGCGTACGATAACTCTCGCAGGTAAAAGTATTCGATTTGATCCAAACTTGGTACATCGTAATATTATTGTCAAACTTAGATCCAGTACGGAGATGGGCAATATCGGTCCACTGCTTCTGGTACGTCCCTCACAACATTGTCGACATTTTTTAAAGAAAACATGTAAAAAGCTGTAACTGCAGCCGGGCCGTACTTCGAATACCCTCCACCATTTGGAACGAATTTGGCAATTCTCAAAAACAATAAAATCCATTAAAAATTCTGTTAAAATCTTAAAATACCGAATTTTGATGTTATTTTAGGGTCTATACGACGATATGGACCGGCATAGGTAGTTTTTGTCATAAGCCATTACAATATTCAAATGCGAAACTTAAAAAATCAGTGAATACTGTAGCTAAAATCATCAAAATACCGAATATCAGGAGGTGCCGTAATATGGGGGCTATACGAAGACGTGGACCTGTACAGACACTTCTTTTGTCTTAGATTGTAGTACCCACTACGAACTTCAAATACCAAATTTGAAACAATTCCAGTGAGTAATGTCGCTAAAATCAGCAAAATACCGAATATCAGGAGGTACCGTTATATGGGGGCTATACGAAGACGTGGACCTGTCTTAGGCTGTAGTACCCATTACGGACTTCAAATACCAAATTTGAAACAATTCCGGTGAGTAATGTCGCTAAAATCATCAAAATGCCGAATATCGGGAAGTACCGTTATATGGGGGGCTATACGAATACGTGGACCTGCACAGACAATTTTCTGTCTTAGGCTGTAGTATCCATTTCGAACTTCAAATACCAAATTTGAAAAAAATCCGGTGAATAATGTCGCTAAAATCATCAAAATGCCGAATATCGGGAGGAACCGTTATATTGGGGCCTCTACGAAGACGTGTACCTGCACAGACAATTTTCTGTCTTAGGCTGTAGTATCCATTTCGAACTTAGTTGCAAGCATGGTACAATGAAGAGAAGGTAGGTCAACTTTGAAAAAATTGCAAGTATAGAGGTCTACCTGTTTGGCTTGTACTGTCAGAATTAGTATCAAAACAATAAAAAAATCAAACAACTTGTTGCATTTATTTTGAATAAATAATTGAAAAAACGCGATAACTGAATGAAAGGTCAACACTTCTTTTCAAAACCATGTACTATATATCTCTGAAGGAATATTTCGCTACGAAAACTCTAGATTTTGTCGATGCATACGTTGAAATAAACATTTTGAAAACACCCAAATTTGAATATTTTCTGAACAATTTTTTTTATTGAAAGGAAAACACATACATAAACAAATAAAGATGACATATTAAGCCAAGAAAATAAAAAAATTGAAATCATATGGTAGTTCTGCCCTACCTTGATATCATTGTACCATGGTTGCAAGCTTCTGCTAAAATAATCAAAATACCGAATATCGGGAGGTACCGTTACATGGGTGTTATACCTATTTTCAATGCCAAAAGTCCTGCAGACATAATATATATTTGAGTAAAATTTTAGCAATCTACGTAATTTCGTTCGGAATTAGAGTGATTTTTACAGACGGACGGACATCGCTCATAAAACACGAATTTAACATCCGATTTCATTCAGACTTCGTACATCGCAATATTTCGATCAACACAAGATCTGTTATAAAGATGGTAGAGAACGGACCACTCCTTATACCTCCCCCTCAACGTGTCAAAGTTTTGAATAACCCAAAGGATCACAAAATCCGAAATAAGCATCCGGTTCTCTTCAAATTACACACATCACAATAGGTGTGTCTGGTTACCCTAAAATTTGTAACAATTGTTACAAATTTTTACTGGAAGTCATCTGTTAACCCGAAAGTTCTGCAAAAGAGAGCGGTTGGAGAGAGAAATTTTGACAGTTCTTTCAGTGAGAGTTTGCAAATTCTTGCTGGACAAATTTCTTCTTGCAATCTCTTGCAACTCTTCTTCTTCTCATTCATCGACATTCAATCAGATGTTTTCTATTGTTTATTTATTTCTTTTTGTGATTTTAATTTGAAAATATTGTTTTGGAATTAGCAAGACTTATTGTTTTTGGAGAACAACTTTACAAAATTTAAAAAAAATAAATATTAATATGTAATAAGAAAACAAAACACTATTTCCAACATTTTTAGACAAATGCCATTAGCAACAAGTTTAAAGGATTCCGCGGAACACATTAAATCTATCTTCCTTATATTGGTCATATTTTTATTTTATTGTCAATTTTCTTTTTATTTATAAAACTTGTGAAATTGGTGGTGGTTCCTTTCGTTTAATTCTTTTAATGGAGACAAATTGGTTTGTTTTGACAAATCAGCTGATTAGTTGCAAGCTTCTGCAGGAATACCGTCTGTTTACCTTTCGTAATTTCCTTGCAAAAGAGAGTAAAACTACCTTACTCGCTCAGAAAGATGTTGCTGGACAATTCCTGCAGGAAAAGTAACCAGACACACCTAATACCTTTCTTAACTCAAGGTCTGGTGTGAAGATGGAATATATATGTCCATTCCTTCTAGTACCTCCCACACAAAGGGTTAAATTTTTGAATATTCATGAAGCTCATAAAACACGAAATTAATCTCCGATTTCATTCATACTTCGTACATCTCAATATTTCCAACAACACAAGATCTGTTATAAAGATGGTAGAGATCGGACCATTTCTTCTGATACCTCTCCTAAACAGGGTTAAAGATTTTGTAAAACAAAACGCTCAAAGAAAGCAAAATAAGAATCCAACTCTCTTCCAATTTCACACATCCAAATATAATTGCTAACGCAACGCGCCAACTCCTTCTGGTATCTCACACCCACAAAGGGTCACAATTTCCAATACTTATATTGTCAGTCTATATCTAAATATTGTTCTTAACCAGAGATCGGAGCCCCAACCATAAAGGGTCACCAGTTTGAATAATCATAACTCAAGGCTGGGGTATAAACATCTTTCGGACCGACTGATACTATTTTACTTGTTTGATTGGCATTAGTCATCGGCTGGCTTCTTCGAAAAGAACAAAGGAGAGTAATTTATTTTTATTTTGTAGTTCTTTACCCTTAACTTCCAACATGATATGAACTTAATGCGTTTCCTTACCGCCATCATTTCCAAAACAACCTTTAGATCGCTTCTCTGAGCTCTACGAAATATTCCTCCTCCAATCATTGATGCCTCGGTGTTTGATGCCATATTCTTGGTGGTAAGCTTTCCTGATCGGTTTATCCGCACTCAAAGTAGTAGGTGTGTATGCACCAAGAGAAACAAAGTGAATGTGGTAATTGTTTCGTGACTGCAGTAGTAGAATCATAGACTAATGAACATATAGACAGCGATAGCGACAGCTTTCAATATCGCCTGCTGACGGATGTGACAACAACAATGAACTGTCAAACCAATTTTGGAATTGAAAGTTTTGAATGAAAGATTATTCAATATTATATCATTATCATGTTATCATTAGAGCACTCCAGCATTTAAATGTGAATAAATCTTTTGTGTCTCGTACAATCGCTTGTTACCGTGATACTAGTAGCGTGGCCCGACGTCAGGGAAGTGGACGGAAGGAAAGAGCAACATAAGCAGAAATGGTTCGAAAAGTAAGGAAGCGACTTGATCGAGACCCATGTCGCAGTAAGCGAAAGATGGCTCATGAACTGAACATATCGCATTATTCCATTCTGCAAATATTGTAAAATGAGCTCGGGTTAAAGCCATTGATATTACAAAAAGTGCAAAAACTTACACCACAACAGAAAGAAAATAGACTCAAAAGAGCAAAAGAGTTACTTCGCTTGGTCGAAAGTGGTGAACTGCCGAAATTGGTTTTCTCCTTCGGTTAGCCACCAGAACTCAAGCCCCGGCCATGGTGATGGTGATAAGAGTCGATGGTCGCTCTCCTATCGTATTAATCGACCGTGGCATCAGGATAAATGACGAATGTTATCGCGAAAATATTCTGAAGGTTGTATTAAAGCCTTGGGCACGCAAACATTTTGGCCGCAGACATTGAACATTCTAACAGGACTCAGCACCATCGCTCTCAGCACGCCCCATCTAAGAATGGCGAGGTTCCTCGCTTCATTTCCAGCACACAATGGTCTCCAAAATTGGCACCAAGCGCATCGCCGGGAATTGGCCAAAATACCGCAGAGCAACATTCGGGCAGCGTGTGACAGTTTCATTGGCCGTTTGAAGGCCATAATTCGTGCCAAAGGTAACCAATTCGAACAAATCTAAACTTATTCTGAAATTTGATGCTATTTCCGACATTTATTGCTTTCATTCAATAAAATTTTAAAAAAAATGTAAAAATTATGGCGTTTTACTTTGTTGCAGTTTTTCAACCTGTGTACGCAAATAATTCCTCCTCAATTAAACATGATTGGAATATTGATCTCCCGAGAAAAATACATTTCGTTTCCGAATAGAGAATCGCATCGATAGAATTATAAAAAAAATTAACATGTTATGAATATGCTTAGCTTAGTTACTATAATCACTTTCTTTTGGGTATATTTAGATAGATTATAAATATATTTAATAAAAATTATAATTAGAATATTTTACGTTTTTTTTTTTCATATGAATTTTAAATGTTAATGATTAACAATAATACAAATTGTTTTCACATTTTTGCTTTTAAATAAATATTTTCAAGTCAAACACTCCATACATACTACATAGTATATGAAAATAAATTAGTATTACTGGTCACCAGCTGTGGCTATGACATGGATTTGCATCGATTTTGTTGAATTGTATAGTTGGCCCGGTGGGAATGGTGAAACTTTCGAATGAGTATCAGTTTTAGTTTTGCTACATGCTATGTACTTGGACAAACGTATGCTTGGCATTGGCAAAAATCCAGTACACAATGGCATAACATCCAGAGAAATTGAATGACTTTCGACATCTTTCATGGAAATGATACCTTAAGTAAATTTTATGTTATTGCAAGTGGATGGAATTTATTTTCACTGAAACTTACCCGATGATCGACCACACACCGCCCAGGAATTTTGATCGGACAACACCTCATACATTAAATCACTATAGGGATTTGCGTGTATTTTGGTTATTTTCAAATTTAAATTGCACACCGATTTCAAGCGACACAACTCATTGGGTTCCAGCTGGGCTTGGATTTTGAACAGTGTCACATAGTCGACCAAATCAAAAGCACAACCAAAATTACGCAGCAAATAGGGTTTCTCCACACTCGAATATTTTGTCATGAAATGCACTTTGATTACTGGGAACTCTGATTCCGTTCCCAAAGGCTCTACTTGTATTTCATAAAGGAAAAACACGGTCAGGGTTTTATAAATCTCCTTAAGAGAAAGAAATGAAAAGAAAAAAATTATTAGTAAATCTTCCATCACTATTTGCTTTTCAATTTGAAATCATTGGATTACACACAATTTTTTGTTGTGTTGCAGGATTCAAATCGATCAAACGTACACCAGGCACATCGCATCGCACCCGTGCCTCTGTCAAATACAGATGCGCCTCTAAACCCCTAACAATCACTTGCAAAAACTTCTGAGTACCACAGGTGTGCAGGTGACAGGAAGCCTCTATGGCTGGCTGGAATTCAATGGGTATCTGTAACTCATTGCGCGACCAGGGGCAACTCAGTGTAATGTGATGTTCCAGGTGTTTGGTCAATTTGCGCCCAGGCACATCCGTCAACACTTCCAATGGTATGTCACGTTCTTCGAAAGATCTGAAATTCGTCAGAGGCACATGAAGCACACTTTCGAACGAAGTATCTTCATCGGGGTTTTCTTTGTTGGTATCACAATCTTCCTCCTTTACTTGGTTCAGCATCCGTATTCGAAGGTTTTTTGAGCATTTAAGTGTTATTTTGGCATCTGGAGGAAATATAAAGCTACCACCGGAAACATGTAAGCGTATGGGTTGTTCTATGCCTGCTATAAGAGTTTTGAAATGTAGAACGGCCGTGGCCGGTTTTGTTGTGATGTCGAATGGCTGGACTTTGACAGGCAAGTGTTCGGACAAAAATTCCAATTGAGACATACGTAAACGTAGCTAAAAGAGGTCATAAATTAAAAAAGCCATTTTGCATTGGAAAAAATGCATTTGCTCACCTGCTTAAATTCCCACTGTCCCACTCGAGTACCCTTTGTTTGCAGCTCAATTATATTGGCTCCTGGCTGTATAATAATATTCTCCACTGTCACTGAATTACTAAAATCCGATTGAATACTGGGCGAAAGTTTGCGTTTAGTACTACTTGTTCTTCGAACAGGCTGTTTGGGCTTCGGTGTGTCACAAGCCACCGAAGCACAATCTAGTTTATTGTCTTGTTTACGATTCAATAGCAGAGAGAATTTCATACGATTGTCTTTGATGTAACCAGCTGCCTTTTGGGCCATTGCATTTGGAGTATTCACTTGATTGGGCAGTGGGGCTATGTAACGTTCAAACGACAGCTTAATTTCGTCCACTAGAATTTCTCGAGGATATAGACTTTCGAATTGCACCTCGACCCGTATTATGTCATCTTGAATGATGGGTTTTTGATTCAACACCTGGATATTGTTGATGCGAAAATGATCTTCCAGAACACAAAAATTGGCATTTTCCAAGGATGGTTGGGCGGAGAGGGCAGAATTGAGAGATTTTAGAGATTTGAGAAATTCATCGAAATAAAATGAGCGCACCAATGTTTCCAGTTCTGGACAACAGGAAATGGCACTACATGTCTTGGTGTAGGCCATGGCATCACCCATTTTGCGATAACAATTTGCCAGTTCTAGCAATGTTTGAGAACAGAGCGATGGCCAATTTTCGGCCTTAAGCTCTCGCAGCAGGTCGGTAAAAAATCCCACAGCTTTGTGTGGCTCATTTAGGGCACAATAGAACTTGCCCAAGTCCAGGCCAACCAAACGTGCTGACCTGAGACGCGATACATGTTTGTATGTGCTAATGGCCAATTCAGCTAGTTCCAAATATAGTTTTTGAAAGGCCTGGTTCGAACCCAAGGCTTCCTTTAACTGCTCTGGGGCCGATTTTCGTGGTTTGCGGGCAGGTGAACGATCTCTTTGTTGAGGTGTGGGATTTAAGAATTGATGTTGCTGATCCATGGGGGTATCTCCAATACCTGCAGACAATTGCACTACAATGTGTAGCTGGGCAGAGCTTGGAGTATATCCTGGCAAAAGACCACAAAGTTTTCCCAATTCGTATAACTTATCCTTGGCCAAATTCCAAATAGGAGCACAATGTTGAAAGCAGGTGACTTCTTGGGGTTCCATTGACATTTCACACACTTGCAGTACCTCCAGGGCACACACGAACTCCCAACAGGCCAACGCACCTTCCTGGTATTCCAATTTAACCAATTCCACTTCTCTCAATGTGGAAAACAAAAAGGCTAAGAGCCTTTTTGCTATACATGGAGTGTCATTGCTCTGCTGCAACAAATAAGCTTGTCGTTCGAATAAATAATTTCGAAATTCCAACAACGATACGCCATCATTACGAATTTTCTCTCGCAACTCAAAACGATCCTTTCGCCTAAGGCAAATGCCGTGGAAGGACGTAAGTGGTTTGCGGAAATATTCCAACCATTTTTGTTTTTCACCAAAACTAGAGTTTGTTATGAACTGTGAGAAAATTGCATCCAGTTCATCGTATTGTATCAGGGCCTCTGTGTGTAGCTCCAACTTTTCAAAGACCAGTGCCAAGTCTTCTTGCATAAAGAAATATTGACGAAAGTCCCAACCATCATGATTGCGTTTTTCACGTTTTGAACGTATAAGTTCTTCATATTTGCCTATGTTACGATTATAACTGGTCAGCATTAGGAACCTGTAAAAATTTAAACATAAAAATGTGTTCATCACGATGGGTATTGATTTAGCGATATGTATTGGAATTTATAGTTATACCTAATGCGCTGCACTAGACATCTGAAACTCTCCGTGGATTTCTGTTCAAATTTGGCAGGATTTAGTACCGAAATACAACGATCCTCATTCTTGGCACCAAAATCCAAACGTATCTTATCCAATACTGTTGTTCGCTGTAATAAGTTTTTGGTCTTTCGTACATCTATGGTCTCGACCAGAAGTATCATCCAATCACTAATGTCATAGCTGGCCAATAATTTTAACCATTTTTCTATTTCCTCATGGGTAGTTTTTTTGTAGTTGTCCACATCCTGGAAAGATATTTTTGAGATATTATGCGGAAATCTCTTTGTTAGGCATGTTCAACTTACATTACATTCCGTTACATAAATATGCAGTATGGGATGCTCCAAAATGCTCCATTCACCTGTTTTGTACTTTTCCAAAAGTTTCTCATTGAACGGCTGAAACTGGGCATCAAGTCTTACATGTTTTGTGGGTCGATGTAGGGTACGACGCCACTCACAAGTGTCCAGGGGTATAGCATTTGTTATTTGGCCCTCCAATGACCTAAATAATGGAGCAGCACCCGTATCTTGCAAAGAAAGGATAAGATTATTTTAGAGAGTCTCAGTAAGGGGTTTGCTATGCGTAATTACTCAAACAAAAAAACACCGAAAGGCAAAATGTGAAACTTACAAGTTATTATGGGTTTAAAATTCATATTTTATTGTAAATTGTTGTATTTATTTGATTTTTTTTCTAGTTTTTTATTTTTTCAAGTTTTTTCATGACGACGACCGTCCACCATAAAATCAACAGCTGACGTGAAAACATACACATAAGAGAAGAAGAAGAAGATTACAATTGTCACTTGGAGTCGTACATTAATACCGTCTGCTATATCATCAAATGGCGTTTATTGTAGTTGGCACTTGGTTCTTAATTCTACTAAGCTATTAAAAATGTATAATTATAACATTAATAAAAATTAGTTTATTTTCATTAACAATTTCACAATTGAGAATCCACCATACAACCTCTCTCCCTTCTCTCTCCCCCTCTCTTTGACATGTTACGTGGGAAGGCTAAAGAATATCAATGTTTATAGACGAAAGAGAGATAAATCAAGAACTAGCAAATTATGAACAGACAAACCTATATTCTTCGTATTCCCTGTGTGTCAGATGTTTTGTGAAACGTCAAATTTATTATAGAGTGAAAATATATTTTTTTGTCGTCGTCATGTTTAGGAAATAAGAAATCGGTTTGCTTAACTAATTAATAGAAGACCAACTTTGAAAACTTATTCCTCGTCTAATGCTGTAGCCCCCAGATTGGCCAATTAACAAATAGGACCACAATGGAAATGGCAAAAAGTTTATTTGGAAGAGATCATGATGGTTATGTCTCTTCCAAAGAACATACGGTAAATATTGTAAATTAGCATAATAAGGAAACAACACATTATTGTTTATATTTTCAGAAAAAGCTACAGACCCTCAATTCGGAAGATAGCATTGGCGAAGAACTTATTACAACAATGGAGGAATTGAGTGTGGTAGATGGACTAAGACCCAATCCGGGGGGTCCATTTTCAGCCCTGACCCCCTCTATGTGGCCACAGGAAATTTTGGCAAAACCCGAGTCCGATAACGGCAGTGGTCCCAATGATCAACCCGATTATAGATTTGATGAATTTGGATTTCGTGTCGAGGAAGAAGACGGACCAGAGCAAAACTCCAAAAAGCTCTTAAGTATTCCATTTGTCGAAGATGCCCAACACCGTTTGCAATGGATTGCCCACTTGGAGTTTTCTCACAATAAAGAGGCCAATGAATTGACGTGGGAGAATGTGGGTGTAATGTTGCCACGCACCGAAAAGTTACGGAATATGGTAAGAGAGGGCATACCCCATTCCCTAAGGCCACAAATGTGGATGCGACTCTCAGGGGCATTGTCCAAGAAGCAAAAAAGTGAGACCAGCTATCAGGAGATTATAAAGGCATCGGCAAATGACCAATTAATGACATCGAAGCAAATTGAAAAAGATCTTTTGCGTATCTTGCCAACTAATGCATGCTTTAGCAATCCCAATAGTACTGGTATACCCAGACTTAGGCGGATATTAAGAGGTAACCAAATTACATATTGCTTTTTTAAAGCTACATGCAGTTAGAATTTAATATTTTCTACACAGGTATTGCATGGCTTTATCCGGATATTGGCTACTGCCAGGGCACGGGTGTAATAGCCGCCTGTTTGCTTCTCTTCATGGAGGAGGAAAATGCATTTTGGATGATGGCAACCATTGTTGAAGATCTCTTACCAGCCTCATACTATTCATCCACATTGTTGGGCATTCAGGCCGATCAGCGGGTCATGCAAACACTTATTGCCAATTATTTGTCGGCCGTTGATGATAGCTTGAAAAAACATGACATTGAACTTTCCCTCATTACCTTGCACTGGTTCCTTACTCTGTTCGCCAATGTTGTTCACATGAAAATATTGGTTCGCATTTGGGATTGGTTTTTCTACGAGGGAAGTATTGTGCTATTTCAACTTACATTGGGTATGCTCAAAATGAAAGAAAATGATCTGCATAATTTGGAAAATTCAGCTCAAATATTTAACTCGCTTTCCGATATACCAGGCATGATAGATGATGTTGAAGTAAGTAATTTTTTAAAAAAATATTAAGTATCACCTTCAAAACAAAACATGGTTGTTGTGAGGCAGTGCGACAGTAAAATAATTCCTGTACTGGTGGCGTTAAGAATATACGTGTGTAGAAAAAGAAAATATAACCAATTATTTTACCATTTCTAGGTTTTGTTTAAAATTGCCTTGGAAGTTGGTGGTTCTTTAAGCCAAACGGTGATTGATACACATCGACGTCGCCACCTGGCATATCTAATGGCAGATCAAGGAGGCCTTGTGGGCAATCCAAATTCCCTACCCAATTTACCAAAACAGCATTTAGCTCGCCGACAGGTGCGTAAGTCGAAATCAATACTTGAGACTTTGTTATTCCGCGGTGATAATGGCACGGAGGAAGTGAAAAATAAAAATATCAGGCAAACCGAAATATTGGTAGACTTACGTGAGGCCATACTGAAAGTAGCTCGTCACTTTATTGCCATAGAACCAAAGTTGGCAAATCACATCCAATTAACGGCAGACTACAGTACCCAATCGCATGCTAAGGATCATGAGAATTTTATAAATGTGGCACGAACGCGTAAACGAAGGGCCAAAGCATTGCATGATTTCGAACGGCATGATGACGACGAGTTGGGCTTCAGGAAAAACGATATCATAACAATAATTAGTCAGAAAGATGAACACTGTTGGGTGGGAGAGTTGAATGGTTTACGTGGTTGGTTTCCGGCTAAATTTGTGGAGTTATTGGATGAACGTAGCAAACAGTATACTTCTGCAGGAGATGATGCCATATCGGAGACCGTAACCGATTTAGTTAGAGGTACATTAGCCCCGGCGGTGAAGGCGTTTTTGGAACATGGCATGAAAAGGCCAAGCTTTTTGGGTGGTCCCATACATCCATGGCTTTTTATTGAAGAAGCCGCCTCAAGAGAGGTGGAAAAAGACTTTGAATCGGTATATAGCCGCTTGGTGTTATGTAAAACATATCGTTTGGATGAGGATGGTAAATTTGTAAATGGATTTTAGTAGAAAGCTTTTTTAACTGATTTTCCTTTCAGGCAAAGTATTGACCCCCGAAGAATTGCTATACCGCTGTGTCCAATCCATTAATCAGTCCCACGACGAGGCCCACGCCCAAATGGATGTCAAACTACGTTCTCTGATTTGTTTGGGTCTCAACGAACAGGTTTTACATTTATGGCTGGAAGTCCTATGCTCTTGCCAAGATATTGTACAAAAATGGTACCACACCTGGTCATTTATCTTCTCACCAGGATGGGTACAAATTAAATGTGAACTCCGTATACTGGCACAATTTGCCTTTAATCTCAATCCCGATTGGGAATTGCCGCCAAAGCGTGGCAAGGAATCACAACCCCTTAAAGATGGTGTGCGAGATATGTTGGTCAAACATCATTTATTCTCATGGGATTTGTGAGATTGTGTACAAGAAGAAATTTAAATGTTAATTTGATAGTTTTATTTTATCAACTCGAACGAAAGAATGACATTCCCGAATTTGTTGTAGCTTTCATGTTTTTTTTTTCTTTTTATTTAGTTTAAAAGTTATTTTATTTCTAATAAGGGTTTTAAAAGTATATATTTTTTCAGAAAAGTTATTATTTGTTAACATATTGCCTGTATCTAAAACGAAAATAATGTCTGAAATATGTATCAATCTACATAAAAGATGAATGCTTTTACATCTAGAATTATATTTAATTTAAAAGTTTGTTTTTTGTTGAACATGATTCTTCTACCACAAAAATGTGCATTTATGTTAATTTAAAAAAAATATTATCAAAAACAGTCTAAAAAATAATCCATGTATTGCAGCTAGCATACAATATATATATATATGTAACGAGAGATTTAGATAAGCCTATCATATGAAAATCTTATACCTTGCTTGTAATTTTCCTTTGAAAATGTTATGCAGAATTTGAAATCTTCACTTAAGTGCTTCAACTTACTTATATAATGTTGTCGTCAACCCCCCAAGTTATTATTTATTTATTAAACTACTAAATATATATATATATATATGTACCTTTAAAATATGTACTTCAAAATCATATTAAAAATAAATATTTATAATATAAGCATTATATTGTACAGCATATATATTCTTTTAACCATTGGGGCAGTGAGCGCATTTACATTTAAGAAATATTAATTCCTTGACCCTTGCGACGATCACAATGCGCAAGGGAGATGTACGTGGAATTATTAACTCATAACTCGAATTGACGTAAATCTTACCACACATATAGGGTAACCAAAGCTTAAATACACCCTCCAGAAAAATTTCGCGATAATACTCGGCATTTATTCTTATGCCACGGTCGATTAATACGAGCGGAGAGCGACCATCGGCTGTTATGGCGGCCCACACCATCACCATGGCCGGCGCTCGAGCTCTGGTGGCCAACGGAAGGTGCACATTTTCAACTGACCTCTTTAGTAAGTAAACACGATGATTTTGTTTGTTTAAAAAAAGGGCTGGGCAAGAATGTTTTCTCATCGGAGAAAACCAAATTCGGCAGTTCACCACTTTCGGCCAAGCGAAGCAACTCTTTAGCTCTTTTGAGTCAATTTTCTTTCTGCTGCGGTGTAAGTTCTTGCACTTGGAATTTCTTTGGAATTTCAATGGCTTTACCCCTAGCTCATTTTTCAATATTTGCCTAATGGAATATTGCGATATATCCAGATCACGAGCCATTTTTCGGCCGCTGCGACGCGGAATTCGATCAAATCGCATTTTTGACTTTTCGAACCATTTCTGCTGATGTTACTGTTTTCTTCCGTCCATTTCCTTGACGTCGGGCTACGCTACCAGTATCACAGTAACGAGCGATGCTAAGAGACACAAAAGATTTATTCTAGTCAAAAGTTGGTCGCAGTTTTTCATCAGCATTTCATCTCACCCCGTACATCATAAACATAACGTTCAAAAAAAATTGCTATTTAAATAGAAATCATTTTTTATTTATTAAAACTATTATACATTTCCTAAAATAAGTATGAAACATCCATTCCAAATATATATTATTGATATTATTCCTTTAAAAAATATGCAGTAGGAATTAACTGCCCACTAGACCCAAATAGTCGTCCATCAATGTTCCAATTGCAAACTACAAAACAAACACAATTTATTAAATTTAAAGTTCTGATAATGAAATGCAGAACTTACAATGCCAGTGGCGTCGACACGTGTACCCACAATCTTTAAGCGAATTTTATCTTCACCCGATATTACAACATCTTCGTCTTTCGATTTGTAACAAGGAGGATTGCCATTGGGACAGAATTGCATATCGGCAGGGATGGACTGAAAATGAAAATGTCATATTTATATAGTCATGGTGGACGTGCTTGTTGTTTAAAATCAATGGCAAACTTCTTAGTTTAATTATTTCAAAAAAATTTAGAAAACAACTATGGCATTTGTGGTTATTGGGTATTTTTCAATTTCCAACTTTAAAGTTGTTACCTTAAACATGGCTCTATTTACACCATACAAAAATGGACAGCAATGAAATCAGCAACATATTGAGAAAATCAACTAAACAAAAATATACATATATTTAAAAAATAAAACATACTTACATGGTGAGATATAAAGCACGACAATGGTCCGATTTCGGCAAACATGCCCACCTGTTACCAAGAAATAAACCAAAAAAATAGTGAATTGTGTTTCACAATTTGCAAACAACAAACATTTCACCTTATTAATTTGTTTAACTACGGCATCAAGTACCTCTCCCTTAAATGGCCGGAAAACAATAGCTTTATATTTGACCGGATAAACCACAAAGCCCTGACCCGGTAATATTACACCAGAACCAATTTGATCAATTGTTGTCACAGCTATAACAAAACCATATTTTCCGGTACATGTTCCCTCAACTTCTGTGTACAGTTTCTGCTTGACAGTTTCCAAGAGTTGCGGTCCAAAGTAACGTGGATGTAACAAAATTTCATGTTCCAGAGAAATCTAAAGATAATTGTAATAATGTAATAGAATATGGACACAGGGAATGTTATACTTACATGATAAAACATTGTGTTAAGCTAGTAATAAAAATAATTCAAGTGCATATAAACAATTTTTTTGGATTCCTCTGCAAGAATAGCCGAGTCTGTGTTAGGGAGAAGTAAATCGACTATGGACTGTCAACTTCATTTTTCAACTTAACTACACATCCCTAGTCCAGTGGTGCTAACTACTTTTTAAAATGCTAATGGTAGTAAAAGTGGTAAACTGTTAATGATTTTCTACTTTTAATTGTGTTGTTGATTGAATTCACAGGACGTTTACATATAAATGGATTATCCCAATGGATTTAGATTAAAATTGTCATATCCATTACGTATACTTCAAATAAATCCTCTTGAAGTAGGTTAACCCTCCAAAAAGTTCTAACGTAAAAATGGCATAAGGCACCAATGATAAAAAAATTAGGCAGATCCTTGGAAGAAGCACACATTTGCAAATTATAAATTGTTAATAGCAAGAAACTGAACGACCAATATAAAATTACACTCAAAAATGTACGTTAGGCCCCCATATAAAAATTTTGTTAGAAAAATAAAAATGAACAAAACCAACTGTTGCAAATTTAAAAGTATATATTTATATTTCACAGAGTTGCATATTTCTAGTTTCTTTTAAGTTGAGCAATCTTTCTTATTGAGCCATGGATATGTTAAAATTATTCTAATGTTTTTTAATGTTGTTTTGGAAAATAAGTAGATTTGTATATGTTTTCCTATGCGACCCCAATCGGAGGTTGTTATGATATGCATTTCTTGACAATTTCAAAAAATTTGAATAATCCTTCATTCAAAAATTTCAATTCCAAAATTGGTTTGACATATCATTGTCCCATCACCTGCATCGATGCGTTTACCTGTATTCTTCTACCATGATGTTTGATGTGGCCACTGAGCTACGTTGCCATATTGGAAATATGAGAGACTTTTGCTGTCAAAACAAAACAGCTGTGTTACAACCCAACATACATACGAACAAAACAATCATATCGCATTTAATTGATGCATTCTTTTCAATTTCTATAATTTCACAATACGATAGGTTCTAAATAGCAGAATGAATGACATCAGACGTCTGAAAGATCAGCAACGCGAAAAACATCCTGGATTTGATGCCTATATGGAATGTATGACCCGGTCATTGTTTACCGGTTTGGCATCATTTTGTCTTGGTAAGTTTTATTTTGTTTTGCTAGTTACGAAGAAGAGTTGTAATTGCTTGCATAATTTTCTTTTGGTATTTTGCGTTGTTTTCAAGGGTTTTCCGGTTTTTACTTCGCCCAGAAGATCGTACAATCGAAAATACGTTATCCTCAACAATATAATATCCTGATCTCCACTTTGGCAGCAACTGTGATAGGTTACGAGGTGACAAGTAAAAGAACAAAATCGTGTCAAGCAGCTTGGATGGCAGTGGAAGATAAACATAGCATACTTAAAGAAAAAGATTATTAATAAAAAAAAAACAGTTTACACAAACAAATATCATGCTTCTCAAACAATTGGCTAATAGATTATTGTCCTTGAGGTCCGTGTCCGTACAACGCTTTTTGCTAAATCCATGTGGAAGTTATTACACTCCGATTGCCTGTTCCTTACAATGTGTTCGTTTCAAATATACACCAAATAAAGGAGTACAAGGTATACGCAATCGAAAGAGTCAATTCGAATCGAATGTCAATCAACAAGAAAATGAGGATAGTGAAGATCGAGAAAATGAAGAATTTGGTCAATCGTTGAATTTGGACGATAGGTAATGTCCTTAAAATGTTTCATTGACGAGGTAGCTTTTAAACTATTCGTAATAATACTCCCATAATTGCAGTGAATACGACCTAGTGGCCAATGGGGCCATGCGGGTTACACGAAAATCCACACAACCCCAAAACGTACTGGTCATACAACCATATGTCAAGTGGTCCGTTAAACGTACCACTAACATCACTCCAGAAGACCAAATACAAGAAGCTGAAGCTCTGATCCATTCAATTACCAATTGGCGGGTGGCAATGTCCATTAAAGTTCCCCTGGAATCTTTGGAAAGAAAAACTTTGTTTGGCAAAGGAAAAATGGAAGAACTGAAACAAATCGTCAACGAATTGCGCTACAACAAAAGTCACAATCAACAACCACTTACCTGTATATTTGTTAGCAAAGGAACCTTAAGTTTTGCCCAGAAATCTCTGCTGGAAGCAACTTTTAAGCTTCCAGTAATGGATCGTTATTCGGTGCTAATACAAATATTACGTTTGCATGCCACAAGTGCTGAGGCACGTTTACAGGTGGCAATGGCCGAGATACCGTACATATGGGGCCAAGCCAAAGATTACAACACCTCGAAATCAACTAAACTTGGCTACTCACTAACGGACACACAACGTGATATCTTGAAAACTCGCGAAAAGAAATTAAAGGCGGAATTGGAGCGCGTAAGAGCACATAGGTGAGAAAAGACCATGTTAGAAGAATACGGGTAGACGCATCGACGCAACTGTTGGGACAATGAACTGTCAAACCTATTTTGAAATGGAAAATTTTGAATGAACTTTTTTTTTTCAAATTTGTAAATATTTTTGAAATTGGCTCTTTAATATAGCATATAAAAATTTACTGGTTTTTGACCAAACATTTTAAAAATTTTGACCATCATGTTCCCAAGCTTTGATACATCTACCTGTATTCTTCTACCATGGAAATGATATTAGAGTATTTTTCAAAAAAAAGTAAATAACTTGATTTATTTTAAATAGAAAACTTTTGCGCAATAAACGCAAACAAAACAACTATCCAATAATTGCCGTTGTAGGTTACACAAATGCGGGCAAAACCTCGCTAATCAAGGCCTTAACCCAGGAACAGGCCATAGAGCCAAGGGACCAGTTATTCGCAACCCTAGATGTCACGGCCCATGCTGGGAAGTTGCCATGCAATTTAGAAGTAATTTACATGGACACTGTGGGTTTCATGTCAGACCTACCCACCGGCCTGATTGAGTGTTTCGTGGCCACCTTGGAAGATGCAATGCTGGCCGATGTTATTTTACACATACACGATGTATCGCACAATTGTTATGGCGCACAAAAGCAACATGTTGAACAGTCTCTGAAAAGTCTAACAGATAATTTGATTGCTTCCGGAGCGGAAGAACCCGCCACATTACCAACAATCATTAATGTTGGCAACAAAATCGACCTATTGGCCAGGGGAAAAAGAACGATCGAAGATTTCCAAGGATTTTTAGTTTCAGCCAAGAAACAAAATGGTCTGATGCCTTTACTCGAAGAAATCGAACAACAGGTACTCAAAACAACGCAACGTAGAAAAATTACAATACGCGTGCCCAGTGGCGGTCCCGAAATGTCTTGGCTGTATAAAAACTCGGCTGTGGTAAATATCAAGGCCGATCAGACGAATGCCCAAATACTCTTAATGGATATCATAATAAAAGAAAGTGTTTTGCAACAGTTTAAGAAACAATTCTGCAAATAAATACAATTTATTTTTTTTTAATTTTAAGTCTCTGTAATTGAGGAGAACAACGCAGTAAATATAATTTTTTTTTAAAATTGCACTAAACTATACACAATGTGAGTATAATAAATACAAAATGTCCTAATGAAACTTGTTATTTTTTTCTTATATATAATAAAAAAAAACACATTAAAATTGAAGATAACCACACACACATTAGAGCTAAACGATGGCTTATTGTTTTTGTACATAATATTTGTTTATTATTAATGTTTTTTTTAAATGCATTATATTAACTAATGACTTGGTAATGGAATTTCATTTTTTTTTCGTTTAAATGCACGGCCAAAAGGTAAATGAGAACAACTTGGGACTGGGACTGGACTAGGAAGGAGGAATGTTTTTGAATGCGTGCGTGCCTTTTGTAAAACGTACTTATATTATGTTTTGAATATTTTGTAAAGCCTGCGTTGTGCAACAACACGTTGCAGCACAATACAATACTTTAAATCATCATCATCAAACAAAAAACCAGGAAAATTAAGTAATTAATAATTAGTCAAGTGGAGATCATTACAGGGTGAGATAAAGAAAACTTCAACCAACTTCAGACTGCTGTCATTTCTAAGCCACTCGACCGATAGCTGTTAAAATTATTCCAGTGACAGATCATTATATTGTTTACAAAAGTATTTTGATGAGAATTTTTCAGAAAAAAAGTTATTCGTGATGGAATTCAAGCGTGATAGTGTGATTTCTTTATATTTGGCTGGTAACCACAAGTGGCTATCGTTAGAGCACTCCAGCATTTTAATCTGAATAAATCTTTTGTGTTTCGTACCATCGCCCGTTACCGTGATACTGCTAGCATAGCCCGACGTCAAGAAAGTAGACGGAAGAAACCAGCAACATCAGCAGAAATGGTTCGAAAAGTAAAGAAGCGACTTGATCGAAACCTGCGTCGCAGTGCAGTGCATCCATTCTGCAAATATTGAAAAATTAGCTCGGGGTAAAGCCATTGAAATTCCAAAAGAGAAATTCCAAGAACTTACATCGCAACAGAAAGAAAATAGACTCAAAAGAGCTAAAGAGTTGTTTCGCTTGGCCGAAAAGGGGGGAACTGCCGAATTTTGTTTTTGGTTTTCTCCGATGAGTAAACATTTGTTGTCTACCAGTTTTTAAACCAACAAAATGATGGTGTTAACTTGCCAAAGAGATCAGCTGAAAATGTACATCTCCGGTTGACCACCAGAACTCAAGCGCCGGCCATGGTGATGGTGTGGGCCGCCATAACAGCCGATGGTCGCTCTCCGCTCGTATTAATCGACCGTGGCATCAGAATAAATGCTGAATATTGTCGCGAAAATATTCTGGAGGGTGTATTAAAGCCTTGGGCACACAAAAATTTTGACGGCAGACTATGGTCATTCAAACAGGACTCAGCACGCGTCACCCAAGAATGGTTACAAAATGAGATTCCTGACGTCATTTCCAGCGCACAATGGCCACCAAAATCTCCGGATACCCACCCGTTAGACCATTGTGTCTGGAGTATTTTAGAAAGCAAGGTTGGCACCAAAAAATACCAAAGTGTCGATCACCTCAAGCAAGTGCTTGGCCGGGAATGGGCCAAAATACCGCAGACCGACATTTGGGCAGCATGTGATGGTTTCATTGGCCACTTGAAGGCCATAATTTGTGCCAAAGGTGAGCAATTCGCACAAATCTAAACTTATTCTAAAATTTGATGGTATTTCCGACATTTTTAGCTTTCATTCAATAAAATTTTAAGAAAAAAATGTAAAAATGATGGCGTTTGACTTTGTTGCAGTTTTTTTATCTCATCCTGTATACATAGTACCTATATATACTAACCAATAATCTCTTCTCAAGAGGTGTTTGGACTTGATTTATATAATATCTACCGTCATGGTAGACTTGTGGTGTACTGTGTAGACATATATGGAATTATTTGCACCTTAAATACAATAACCAAAAAAACACCTTTAAACTTAAAATTAATTTAAATCTAAATGATTACATATGAAATGAAACAATGGCATTACCATGACAATAACAACCAATGTACCTAGAATGCGGGCATATGTGAGCAATGAATGAACGACCTTCTTAACTCTTTGCAGAAATGAGGTGATTTTGTTGTTGGCGCTCTGCTTCAAGTCGGCTGAAAGTTATAACTTTGATGATATGGCACATTGCCAATACTGTTTAAATGGCATCAAATTGCAAAATGCCAGCAGAAATTCCTCCAAATCATGCAACGACTTGTTTGGAGATATTTTAAAATTACCCGTTTCACGATTACGCAGCAAATACGAACTCTGTACCAGAGAGTGTAAGGCTATGTTTAGATTATCCAATGCCAAACAATAGGGATGGACGTGTAGTGGACAGCTATTTGTTAACAGCATTGATTCAATCTGTTTTTGTACAGCTTTCAAAATGGTTTTTGGTGAGAACTCATCGTTCTCCGTGGCAAGCTGCGGGCAGAAGAAAAACTATTAATTTTCCGAAAAAATAAAAATACAAATAACAAAAACTACCGAATTCAAGGCAACAACAAGTTGATAGTAAAGACACAGGAATGGTGAGAGGGCCGTAAGGATACTGCGGCTACATTCATTATGTTGAACTTGCACAGATCCCATCTGGGAGATGTGCAAAACTCCATAATCTTTTAGAAATTTCAAATTATGCTCAAATTCCTAAGAAATAGAAGAAAATAAATAATCTTATCTCTTTTTCTTGATGAAATGACTCTGAAACCTTACCTCCAATTCCCGATTAGATTCGACAATGAATTCATGTTTAAATACCTCATCCAAGGCATCAACTTGTTGGGATAAACGTAAAATAGTTTCCTCGTGTGATCCTGAGATTTGTTTGCTCATTTTTTGCTGTTGCTCCTCCAATTGTAGTGCGGCCATAATCAGATAGCCAGGCCTGGCAAGCCAAAACAGACAGGGATTCATATACAACTGCAATGCCATACTGGGCACAGCCACAGCCATGGTCCGAGGTGATAGGGCGTGGGCTTTCAGACGACTGATATCAATTTCCTGGGCCAACAATTCTACCGGTACTTGTGTGAACTCCAGACGTCCTTGCTTAAAATGCACAATATTTGAGTGTATTTCAACGGTTTCAATAATTTCCGGTTTTATGCAATTCACATCGGTGGCCACGTGGGCGCCCAACTTCTCAAACATATCCTTGAGCATAATAATGCCACGCGAGATTTCATCAACATTCAAGGATTTATCCATATAATATTGGCTGGCAAAATATAGGCTTATCATATTAAAAGTTGTTATAACAATGCGTCTTTGTTGTTGGTAGATAATCTGAAAAGGGGGATGGTTAAAAAATTAAATATTTAATTGAAATTTATTTGTCCTACCTCCGTGGCCAACTTCTTAACCAATTCTATTTCATGTTTATTTAATTTCTGCAAATGTGAACCCAGTGTGGCCCTTTTCATTTTATCCAAACTGCAGCTTTCGCCAAAGAAGTCCTTTACCGAAATGGGCTCACCAAAGTCCAAATACATTTTACCAAAATTCTCATCAATTATTTTCAAGGCCTTAAAGAAGCCCTTTGTCGACTCTTTAGGCTTGGGCACACCCAACAGCTCGTAAACAAACAATTGTTCCTCCAAAACTCGTTCATATGAGACGCTGACGGGAACTATAGTTATGTCCGAAACTTCTCCCGTAAAAAAGGGTTGTAAGGCCATTGACAGCAAGCCAACTTTCGGTACCAAGGCCTTGAAGTTGCGACTTCGGGTGCCCTCAATAAAGAACTCCACACCTATGTGATAGGAACCAACCAAGGCATACATATATTCGCGAAATACGTCCCAATACAACTCATCATTCGAAAAGGAGCGTCGCATAAAGAAGGCACCGGTTTTTCTCAGCATTGTGCCCATGGCAAACATGGAATGGAAATCTGCAAGGAACGTATACATTATGGATGAAAACCATTTTTCTAAATTACATGCATCTTACCCATTCCAGCAGCAATTCCCGGTATTTCAATGTCATAATGAAAACAAATATATGACATCAATATAAAGTCCATGTAACTTCGATGACTGGGCAAATAGAGTACGGGATTTTTGCCCAAACCCTGCTTCAGGTGATCCATGCTGGCCTTGTTCACATAGATTCCCTTACAGATGCGCTTGCCAATGGCTGTTATGGCAATGCCACACCAGCGTATAATGGCCAAATTGCGATCCAAACCAATTTCGTCCAATATCTCAGACACCAATTGTTGCATCTGTTTGGCGGGACAGTTTTGTTTGGCCGCATAGTAATCGATTAGCTGGCGTATTCTTTCACTTTGCAGGACATGTTTTTTCAGTTTTGTTGGATCGAGATTCTTTTCTAATTTAAATGCTACCAATGGATTGTATTCTTTGGTCATAACTGGTTCTTTCCCATCTTCAAGGATATTTTCAAAATTCATCATATAATTGCCATTGTCATTGCCAGCCATTGTGTGGGTGTGTGTGTGAGAGTTTGGGGGAAGGCGATTTATTTAACTAGGATTTGAAGGTAGAACGATTTATTAGTCACTCTGTTTCCAAGCTAGACAAGCAATAAATTTATTTTTAGGGGTAATGTGTTTGTAAATACTCATTCATATCTATTAATGGCCTGGTGGTAATCTTATCAAAATGACAATTTTCGCCACTAAATGGTGTTGGTTATATGCACTAATTAAGAGTTTTGAATATGTTTCACCAGATATCTACAGTGATGTGAGGTATTTTTTTAGAAAACAAAAAATAAACACCGATAAGTTTGATTGGCCAAACACCTGTCACAAATAACAAAACACTATGACTAAGCAATAACATACTCCACCTGTGGGGTGTCCAAAAATCTTCAAGGGGCAGCGAGGCCCATAACGACATTGTGTAGTGTAGAAACAAACATACAACTGAGAAATCAAAATATAAGCAATCAGCAGCAGTGTTGTAAATCTTTCTATATGTTATTTTGAAGGACCTTTAAAGTGAAATGTTAAAGGATTCATGCCTATATCCCTAAAGTTAAATTTAAAAAATAAAATAATATTTTCAAGGCTCTAATAATCGTGGACTTTTAAGAAAACCATAAGATCTGTACACCCGAGTTTATCAACAATACAGGGTGAGATTAAAAAACTGCAACAAAGTCAGACACCATCATTTTTACTTTTTTTTAACTCATATTGAATGATAGCAAAAAATGTCAGAAGTTGTATCAAATTTAAGAATAAGTTTAGATTTGTTCGAATTGGTCACCTTTGGCAAAAATTATGGCCTTCAAACGGCCAATGAAACCGTCACACGCTGCCCGAATGTTGATCTGCGGTATTTTGGCTCTTTTCCGGCGAAGCGCTTGCTTGGGGTGATCGACACTTTGGTCTTTTTAGTGCCAACCTTGCTTTCCAAAATACTCCACACACAATATTCCAAACGATTGGTATTCGGAAATGTAGGTGGCCATTTTTGGGTGGAGCGTGCTGAGTGCGATGGTGCTGACTCCTGTTGGAATGTCCAAGGTCTGCGGCCAAAATGTTTGCCTGCCCAAGGCTTTAATACACCCTCCAGATTAATACGAGCGGAGAGCGACCATCGGTTGTTATGGCGGCCCACACCATCAACATGGCCGGCGCTTGAATTCTGGTGGCCATCTGAAGGTGCACATTTTCAGCTTTTTGGAAAAATACACTAAAATGTGCGGAAAGGTCTTCAGAGTCCTTTGGATGTGGATTTTCAAGTTTTCGAAAGAACTGCAAATTTCCACTGTAAACCAATGAAGTTCGACTACATTGCATACACCTGTTATAGTGCTGCTGTAGGAAGACGGGTCATTTGACTCTGTTTTCTTTCTGAAGGAGTAATTCAATATATTCTTTATTCCCAAAAAATATTGCGATATTTAATCACGACAAATTTAGTCATGCAATCATTTAAACAAAAACCTATGTGTTGACTTTCTCCCATTCAGTTTAGAGGATGTTGACTGTATCCCTAGATTTTGACAAAATTAGAAAAACAATATGTTAATTTAGTGAAATACAAATAAAAGGCCCCAAAAGCAAAGAAATGCAAATTGGCAAAATATCCACTGGCACTGGAAAGATGATGTCGGTGTTTGTTAAGTAATATGTAAATTGTTGATTCGTTAATTTAAAACCCCACTGATGCGTTCATCTATTTGTTTTAAATACAAAATGCCATTTCAACAAACAAGTTTCTTTTTTAATTCTAGCTTTAGTAAATATTTACAAACCAAATAAATAATTTCAATCCGGTTTTACAATGCATTTCCTTAACTTATCGCACTTATGTATTATTAAAAAAAACCATTATTATATTTGCAACAACAAAATCAATTGTGTTTCAAAATATCTCGGTAACGATGCCAACTTTGAAAGAGATAAAAAGAGCCAAAGAGAAAGTGAAAGAGAAAACTCACAAACATAAACACCAAAGAGAGCCATATTTAAAAACCAACCAACCACCCACCACCACCCCTTGCAAATACACATGTTTACATACCGAGAAAGTAATGTAAAGTTGGTAGTCAAAAATTACTTTTACACAATTAACAATTTACTTTAAGCACAATAATACTGCATAATTAAAATAACAACATTTACATGCACTAACTTTATAGCAACAACTCAAATTTGTTGTTGCTTACAAAAAAACACAACAAAAACACAGTTTGTTTTCATGTTTTACACGAAATTTTGATGATTGTGCTATTCATTCATCGATTTTTCTCAAAGTTTTGTCACATCAAAAAACCTTTTTCTACATAATGGTAATTTAGCACCACAGATGTTTCATTTCACATTTAATTACTTTACTAGCGTTTGCTTTTTTCGTTTATTACCTGACAATTAGAAAGCGTCTTTCACCGAAGTATTTTTTTCCAAAAAAAAAAATTCTTGCGTGCAACGGTCCGTGTTTACGTCGGTTTGCAAAAATATTGTATATCAACTGACGCCGATGAGGCTAAATCGACAGCCCCGAAGTGTAAAATTCTGCGATTGAGAGGGAATGAACAAATGTCAGGGATGGTAACACCAAATGTTTAATTTAATCAATGTACTTTTCCAAACACTAAATACAAATGGAATGTGATATAATAATGCATTTAAAAATGAAAAATTAAATAATTAATTCTACTGCATGATAGAATTAAGAAGTCAATATCATATAAACATGTATTAAAAATTACTCATTTGTTCGCCTCATTGTCAAAATGCATATATATGAGTATTTTCTATGCAGTACATTTTTTCAAGGTAACTTACGAAAAAGGCTGATATGGAATTACTTATTTGTCTATACCTTCTTAATTGTTCCATGGTATTAAGTTGAATCGCTCAATAAGAAAGGTTGCTCAACTCCAAAACAAGAAGGAAATTTTCGCGGATATTCCAAAAGATTGAAATTGAAATTTTTTATTCAAAACAATACATACACAAAATGTGTATATGTTTTGACAGAATAATGGCACCAAAAGAAAAAAATATTTTGTGACATATCATAAAGGAATGCCAGAATCGCATTTATAATTTGACATTAATATGCGTAGCCAGGATGCCAAGCTGTTTATATACCCTCATCTATTATCCATCGTAGAAGACATGGCAGAAGAATACAGGCAATCGCTAAGACACAGCTGCTGGTGCTATGAACTCTCAGACCAATTTTTAAATTGAACATTTTGAAAGAAAAATTATTCAAATTGTTAAAAATTATTGAAAAATTTATATCATAACAATCTAAGATTGGTCTCGCATAAAAAATTTATGAAAATCTTCTTATTAAAAAAAAATTAAAAATGACATTGATATGAAGCGTTGATGCATCTACCTGTATTTTTCTACCATGGTAGAACACTTTACCCGACCAGCTGTTTAATTATTTTTTTCGATTTGTAGAGACCTAGTTTTCTTCATTTGTTTTGAATAAAATCCTTCATTACATACTGTTCATTAACGCCGCTGACTTTAAAATGGGGCTTTGTAATCTCGTCGAACCTCATTATACGGTGTTTACCTCTCGTTTCGTTATTAAATAATTGAATGTTTATAAAGAAAAACTTACAACGTACATATGGTAAATAATAATATTGATATAGAGGATAATTTACAAATTGTTTGTTTATATATTTCAGATTTTTTGTTGCTATTGGTCTGAACACGTTTAAGACGAATTCGCCTACGATTGTTCATAACTGTTGAATGCCGGGTTAAATGGAAATTGGGAAAGCTTTAAATTAAATATTTTAAATAATTAGCAAATGAGCTAAAAATGTATATGCGTAACAAATTCCTACGCAGCTTCATTGCTGTGCTCCCAAGAAGTTACGCCACGAAAAGATCCCAGGCATCATTGGATACGAACGATGAAGTGGGTGCCAGTTTCTTTGCCAAACATATAGGTATGAAATGCGACGCACATTACAATTTTTACTTTATTTTTACACGGCATGGTTTCCTGCAGGTTCCAACTACTGGAAGTGGCATGCGGCATTGCACAAGCATCCCGAATTGAAAACTTTGAAAAGCAAAGATATTTTAAACTCTGCAAAGGCATTGAACAAACTGGATTTTACGGTTGACGATATTCTAACAAGACCAATGATTCTCTATACAAATGAAATGACATTGGAGAATCGTTATGTTGTGCTTAAGGAATGTGGCTTTGTGGAAATAACAATTCCATTATTATCCAAATTTGTTGCTGCCATGAATCGTAGTGTTGTATCCCTAAAATCATTTCGATATATATCGTATGATACAGATGTTGTGGAACGTTTACGCACAACCTTTAGCGATGTAGATGTTACACTGTCGCCAGATTTGGAATGCAATGAAAGTTTAGAATTGAAATTGCTTAGGCAACGCATTCTTAATTGTTATCTTAGACAGAAGTTGGGTGCATCTTCAAACGATATTGAAAAGATTTGGAAGACATATGGACGTCTACGCCATAAAAGTTTTTCTTCTATACAAAGTGTTATTGAAGTTCTTACCAAGGATTTAAAATTCTCCTACGAACGTATAATTAAGAACGCCTTTCTTCTGTATGCTGATGCGTGCAATGTGAAACGCATAATAAAGGAGGTGCCAACAATTGATGGTCAGGATATAAAGGAATTATTGTACAAACGACCCAAGATCATGATGACGTCCTGCGATGGCCTTTTAACCACCATGCAACACATTAGAGAGTTTGGCATTGAAGAAGGTGCTATTCTGAGATGTTTGGAAATTCTAACATTGGGCCCAGATACCGTACTGGAACGTTTAAAAGATCTTAATGAAGTTGAAGAGTTCCAAGTCCTAAGCTCAAATCCAAGAGTGTTGCGATTGGTGCACTATCAAAATAAGGCCAGACTTAGATTGGACTATTTGAATCAATTAAAAGTTCGTTGTGCTTCTCTGCATATATTATCGTGTAGCTCGGAGGCATTTGCCAGGTAGATTTAGCAATTTTTTTTTTTGGTAACATGTTTCTTTACAAATGACCGCTATCATTTTTTTAGATTTGCACGTGACGGTTCAGACAAGACGAAAGGCCGCGATGTTGTTGTATATCTTTCGAATGTCATGAATAAAAACGAAAGTGATTTACGTAACCTGCTCTCCAGGCATCCAAATTGGTGTCATATTCCTGCCATACAAGTCAAACAATGTTATGAGTTTTTAATAGAAAATAAGTTTTGCACTCAGGACATTTACAACAATATTCATATGCTGCTCTATCCAATGTGAGTTGAATGCCTGTTTGAAAATTCCTAAATTAATCGATTTTCTATTTGCAACATTTCAGAAAACGCATAGAGGAAAAACTGAAACAGCTGAATACAACGGATTTTATAAAAGAAATCAAATCCATAGAGAACTGTGAAGAACTCACACAAAATGAGGTGCTCACTTTAGTTTTGTATTTAATTGAGAGCGAATTTCATTTCACCGGAGATGGCATTTGGACTGAGCAGCACACCCAGCATGTGGAAAATTTCAATAATCTACTGCCCGATTTTCCGGAAAGTCTTAATAAAATCTATAAATATGGTTTAAAGTCTGGGTCCGCATCAATATCTTCCAAAAAGGAATCGAAAGATTCATTTAAAGAATATGTCTTCAATTGAAAATACTTTGTACATATACAATTATTATTTATAGTTAATTATTGGCTAAGCTAAAGATATTGTTGTTATAAATTTAATTAAAAGAAAACCAAACGATATTTTCAGCACTAAGTGTGTTAGATTTCAGAAATATTTTTCGGTTTGTATCTCTAAAAAATGTTTAACAATTTGATATTTGTTAAAAGGGCCGAGGTGATAAAAAGCATAAGATATACCTTTAAATTCCTTATTCAATTGAGCTACTTATCTTTAAGGGATTTGGAAATTGTTAAACATTTTTATTCTTTGATTAAAATTGATTGCTTTAACTTTATTGTTCAAATGCATTATCTCAATCTTCACCTATTTTCCGCTCTCCTCCATATTTGTTTCATTGTCATGTTTAACTGTTATGGCCTTGTGTTTTATGGAACAATTCTTTAATTTTTCCAGAATTTCCTTATAAGCTGGAGATATGGGCTTCTGCACAACTTCACGGTACGTGTATTCCGAATCATCATCCAGCTTGAAAATAAAGTGCATTTAAATCACAATTTGTTAACAAAAAAACAAAAATTTCAAACATACATTTAAGCTATACGACATATCTGAATCGAATCCTCTCAAATCGCCACATACAACAAATGGTATCAGTGTTCGATTCACTTCAGATTCTGTGGCATTTTGTATGACCTGAACATCATCGATCATGGGATTAATCATCTGCGGTATGTAACCATCTGGACAACGGTAATTTTGACACACCACAAAGGCTTCTATGCTAGAATTTCTGGAACTAGCCGGTTTAGCAATGGAAACTTTTTCAAAAAATATTCTCAATTGGGAATAGAGTAGGCTAGTATCTTTGCCCCGGAATATTTTGGCAACAAAATTTCCTCCCGGCATTAAGACGTGAGTTGTTATGCTTAATGCAGCCAACAACAATTGACTTTGTATGTACTCATCAATATCATGAAGACCGGTTACATCTGGGGCTGAAAAAAAACGTAAAATATATTTTGGAGAGGTCATATTGTTAACCTAACACCTTACCTCCATCACATATAACTAATTGCGCTTTTAGATCTTCTCCGCCAAAATGATCAATAATGGCTTGGGCTGTTTGAATTTTGGTAATGTCTCCCTGGATTTGTATGATGCCGTTTAACGGGGCCATGGCCTGCAGATCAACGGCAATGATCTTCACCTTTTCCTTGTCATTGCTGTTCTCGTACAAACGTTTCGAGAGAACTTGAGACCAGCTACCAGGAGCCGCACATAAATCAACGGCTCTTGTGACTCCTAGAAATCGTTATCAACAGGAATTAATTGACTTAAAAGCAGCCTCTTATTGTACTATCCGTCAACACACATACCATCTAATATATGAAATTGTTCATCGATTTGTAACAGCTTAAAAGCACTTCGTGCCCGCCAGCCTTCTTCCTTAGCAAGGCGGTAGTATATATCACGTTTATCCTTGGAAGTTTTTCCCATTGCGTTGATGTTTTCCCAAGTAATACAATTTAACAACTTTGACTTCTCTCCAATTGCTGAACTCAAATAAAGAGAGAGAGAGAGAGAGTGTGTGAATATTATTATAACAGAGATGCCAGACTGCAAACAAGTGGTAAGTGCACATTGTGTTTTAAGAATTTTAAGAGAAAATAATAAAAATAAACTTATTTATTTTTAAGTACTAAGTAAATATTTAAACTAGAATTAATTCAATTCACACCCTTATTAATTACAATGAATGCATTGTACTTTGCTTCTCTTAATGAGAGGGGAATCATTGGAAAATACCGACAGCAATTCATATTTTTTCACGGGGGTGGCAACACTCCCAAGTAAACAAAAAAATGCTCTCTGACTTTTCTTCTGTCAGAAATACACGTGTATAGTAGTTGGGAATTAAAAACAAAAGCATGTCTCTGTTAAGAATAAGGTATATTTTTTACATTTATAATAAATAAGTAAATATAAACAATACAATTTGTTTTCTATCATTCTAGGAAGCCAAAAACCCGCAAGGGTAAAAAGGTGTTATTGGCTCGCGAGCCACAATTGATAGAAGGTCCCCGGAATATGTTGTTCTTGGATGGGCGAAAATGCGGTGGTGATGTCAAATCTTGCATGAAGGATATGCAACAGCTTAAGAAGCCCTTGGTAAAGGTATTGAATAGAAACAATGATATTACACCATTTGAGGATCCCACATCTTTGGAATTGTAAGTTTTGTCCCATAAAAAAGAGAATCCTTTAAACTTTTATTCAAACTTACGTTCATTTCAGTTTAACCCAGAAAAATGATTGTGCCATGTTTGCATTTGGTTCAACGTCAAAGAAAAGGCCAAACAACATTGTATTGGGGCGTATTTATGAAAACGAAATCCTTGATATGGTTGAATTGGGCATCAAGCGCTACATGGCAATGTCTGAATTCAAAACTGAAAAAATTGGCACCTGTGTTAAACCTTGCCTGGTCTTCAATGGCCCCAAATGGTCACAATCCGAGGAGCTGAGGCGTTTAAAAAATCTGCTAATCGATGCCTTCCAGAAGGACAAAGTTGAGGCAATCCGTTTACAAGGCATTGAACATGTTATGAGTTTTACATGCACTGAGGACCTGAATATCTTATTACGTTCCTATAAAATTCTGCTCAAAAAGTCGGGACAAAGAACACCCCGCATCGAGCTAGTTGAAATTGGACCCTCTGCAGATTTCTCCATAAGACGCACCAAAATTGCATCCGAAGATCTGTATAAGCAGGCACGCAAGCAGCCCAAACAACTTAAGGTTACCAAGAAGAAGAACATTACCCATGACGAGTTGGGCAATACCCATGGTCGTATACATTTAGGAAAACAAGAACTTGGCAAAATTCAAACACGTCGTGTTAAGGGTCTGAAGAAATCGCCAGAAGAGAAAAAGGCTGATCGTCAAAAGAAAAAGGATCTAATGAAAGCCGCAGCCCAAGAACTATTAACAAATAATGAATAGATTTACATAAGTTATATAGAAGAAAGGAACTTTAAATGTAAGTTTTAATAAAATATATACTTTTATTTACACTAATTCTAGGTTGATATTTAATGTATTGCTGATATTATGTTGCGTATACGTCGTGATATAGATTCCATTAGGGCCTCCTCCAAAGATTGTATCATGTGGACAAGAGAATTTATATCAGTTTGTATTAATAAATCCTTACGATTCCTTTTCTCATCTTCATGTATCTCTTCACATGGATTTGGCGAATCATCCAACAAATCTCGGTTTTCATTCTTTGGCTCTGTATGCAAATACAGTTTCATGGTTACAAACACCTGACGCTGTTTCATTAGAGCTCTAGATGCTAAACGAACTTCAAGTCTCCACTCAAGATTGACTAGCCGGTATGCTCTAATATTCGCAGATTTGATCGATCCCTCTATGAATTTCTTTTTGCTTGTCACAAACTGTGCTAAAATATCAGTGACCTCCTCCTTGAAGCCATCTAACTGCATTAGGGGTTTTTTGACACCATTTATGTCTGCATTACATTTGGTTGCTTCGATTAGTATTGATATCAACGCCTCCACAGCCTGCTGCACCTGCTGGGGCGTTATGTTATATTTCTTGGCTATGACTTCATAAATCTGTTCTTGGGGACCATTTGTCAAGTAGTCAAAAGCTATTTTGCACAGTGCTATAACATCTTGAGGATCACACATCCGTAGTGGCTCCAAGTGCGACTTTTGTAAATTTTTTATAATAAATGGCATGATTAAGTTTTTGTTGACGAAATATAAACACAAGGTACGAGAAAAATAAACGTTTTTTTTTATAAAAACAACATTTATGGGATTAGTCCTATTTTCCAACAAGAAAAAACATTTATTTTACGTTTGCCGGCTATATTGTGGGATTTAACGCCTTTAGACTATTTTTTTGTGTGGCTATGATACAAGTTCATGTCGCTGGCGGCGGCGTCTTTTTCGATTGCGGCGGCGTCTCATTTGCTGCGAGATTTCGGCGCCTAAGAAATGTAATTAAAAAACTAAAATAATAAAAACAAATCTCTTTTTTTTTAATTTTCATAAAAATTTGACGAAAAGCAGCGGTGCGCGATATTTTTTGTTGTTTTTTGGTGGTGATCTGTAGGCGATTTGAGCCGACAGAGTCGGCGGCGGCTTACATATGAAAAATAGGGCGGCACGTCGCCGTTTCACAATCGACCTCAGGCTCAATCCCATAATTGTTGTTTTTATAAAAATTGCAATAAAACAGAATAAAAATTAAAATAAAACAACAAAACAATGGACCTTGATAGTCCAGATGTGGAAAAAGAATTTCCTGGCCTATATGCGTCTGACGGAACAGAAGGAAGCAAGTCAAGGAAAATTAAAGACGAAAGTGACTGTAAGTATCATGCACCTCACAACTAGGAACTCGAAATATAAAATTTCATTCATTTGAATAGACAGCGAAGGTGATCACGATAAGGTAAGTAAGAAAGTTATTGGCCGCCGCAAGGACAAAAAGGATAAAAGCAAAGATAGAGGATATGCCGCTCTAGAGGGAGAAAGTTCGCCCGAAGAGGAATTAGATGCAAAGTAAACGTCTACATTGGAAATTTAAAAGGTGCAAACAATATACATGGAATCTATAATTGTATTTTAATTTCAGAAGCCCATCTAAATCGAAGAAATCAAAAACTTTCAAGTTCACCTCCTCCAAGAGCAAGGACAAAAGGGAAAAGTCTCGAGATAAGGAAAAACTTGACAAGGCGGATGACAGGCAAAAGGATAAAATAGACAAGGATAAACACTTGGATAAGGACAAGGAAAAGGATCACAAGAAAAAGGACAAGGATAAGAAGGATAAAAAAGAAAAGTCCAAAGATAAAGAAAAGGACAAAGATCGAAAGGACAAAAAGGAAAAGGTGAAACAACAGTCGAGCATTAATTCGGAAGAAGTATTGGAATTGTGTTCGCCGGTTTTTGGAGTGTCTGTTAGTTTGGCCACAGAACGCAGCCGGTGTCATGACGGACTTGATTTGCCATTGGTTGTGCGTGATTGCATTGACTATTTGCAGGAATATGGATTGAAAAATGAACAAATCTATAGAGTGGAGCCGGCAAAAACTCGTCTTCAACATTTCAAAAGGCTATACAATAATCGCGAAAGGCTCACCGAGTCAGATGAACTAGATGTGGCCACAGCCTGTGGTCTCTTGAAGTTGTTTTTAAAGTAAGTTCCTAAAACGAGTTTGGTGTTTTAAAAATGGGGTCGATTCAATTGCAATTTCTCTTTTTACAGGGAATTACCGGAACCGGTTTTAACAACTTATCTCATTACGAGATTTGAGGAGGTGGCCTCTCACCCCAAGGTCACAAAACAGCAGGAAGAAATTACACTGCTTTTGGAACAAATGCCAAAGTGTAATAAAATCTTATTGTCCTGGCTACTACTACACTTTGATTCTGTTATACAGCATGAAAAGTATAACAAATTAAATGCCCAGTCTTTAGCTATGCTGTTGAGCCCGCCTCTGCAGATGTCACATCGACTCTTGGTGACATTGCTTTGCTATTGTCCCACCCTGTTTCCGGACGTTCAACTTGTCAAGTGAGTTCTTTGAGAGGCCAATAAGGCCCTAATATTTATAATTTTTTTTTACTTAAAAGTTTGACAGAAAAAAATCATAGATTATGGAAAGGAGATGAATAAGGCAAAGAATGTTACACTTCTCCCTCTTGAGGGCACACAAGTTTTTCTTTATCGCTTCCAAATGTTGCACGATTTCCTAATTTGTGGTTAGGCATGTAATATTTATTTAATATTATTTAAAGTATCTAAAAACTTATTTTCGGATACTTTTATAGTTTATATAAGAAACGTTTTTTATTCCCAAATGTATATATCCAAAGAAACTTGAGAAAACTTTGTGTCAGTCAATTACGTCGCAACAACTAAACTCTAAAAAAGTCAACATATAAAGGTAAAATATATAGAATGTGAATGCATTCTCTCACATCTCCCCTAATTGCTTGCTATGAAGATAAATATAATGTTTTTGAAAGATAAACTCATGAGAAGATAAGAAAAATGATGCTGCTAAATAGAATGGATCAGCAGTCATTAATTGTATATAACATGAAGAAAATCCAAAAGCCAATGCGTTTTGCTAAAATTGTGAATTTTTTAGTCAAGTAAAAATACAAAGTTCTGTAATATTCAGACAAAATTTTCATCGTTGTGAATTTTGTTCATTTTTTTAGGTATGTACCACCCATAACATCATCCAGCCCTAAACTACCAGATACCCCGGACGAAATACAAAAAGAGCTATGTAAACAAGAGAGTTTATTGAATCAAATTCATTCTGAAATGAATGCTGGCTATGTGACCAAGAAACGTGAGGAACAGCTGTGGGAGGTGCAGCGTATAATAACCCAGCTAAAAAGAAAACTGAAGACATTTGAAAGGGGTAAAAGTGAGAAATCTATAGATGAGGTTGAAACGAATGATGATGCTGTAGATTCCGCTTCAAGGTCACAAAATACAGAGAAAAAGGCAAC